TGTACTAATGGTTTTGGACAAAGCAGGACACTTGGAATTGTGAGAGAAGCAGCTGGTAATGAAATAGCAGCTGCTATTAAGACACACAGAGAAGTGCAGTGTCTGCACCGTAATCTTATTCAAATAAGTTCAGGAGTGGGAAATGCTCTTTTAGGTGCCTTAAGTGTAATGTGATGCCACTGGGTGGGAGTTACACGTCAGGTAATTATAGCATGAATAGCAGGGAATTAGGGTGTATGGCACGGGAAGTGATCTCTGCACGTTGACATCCCCAGCATGTTGCAGTTACGGGGATTTTATTAAGGCAAAACAGTTACTGGCAGTACAAGGTATTTTTTTCTTCATAGACCGTGGTAGACACAGCAGATGAGAGCAGAGCAGAGTCACAGGAATCCCCCACAGCCCAAAATACACTCTGACTCTCCACAGAGACAACAGGAATGATGAGCTGGGGTCGGGATATTTCGTTACCCCTCTCATGGTCTGAGTGCAGGCAGCTGCCTTCCAGGTGACCACTTTCATGAGGGGGGCACTTGTGTCTGGAGGTACATGTTTATTAAAAGTCCCTTTTGCCTTTATTTACAGTTTGCTGAACTTGTGGGGCTGCAGTGTCCCCTCTGGGCAGTGCCTTCAGCAGCTGGGTGCTTTGTCACATTTGTTTCTGCATCTCAGCCTCCACCACTCAGGGATTTGGGACTGGTGCTGGAGGGCAGCACTTTGCTCTGCACATGCTGAAACAATTTTCTGTGCTGTCTCACCTCACTCTTGGGGGAGGGCAGAACATTTTTGGCAGCACAGAGGAAGGCTGGAAGCTTTATGACAGGTACCTTTTTGTGCTCCCCTGAATCACAGAATTATAGAATGCTTTGGGTTGGAAGGGACCTTAAAGATCATCTCATTCCACCTCCCTGGCACGGGCAGGGACACCTTCCACTAGCCCAGGTTGCTCCAAGCCCTGTCCAACCTGACCTTAGACAATTCCAGGGATGGGGCAGCCACACTTTCTCTGGACAGCCTGTGCCAGGGCCTCACTATCCTCACAGGGAAGAATTTCTTCCCAATATCTTTTGTTGCACAGGGGGGAGGAGAGTGTGGAAGTGAGGGAGGGGGTCTGTGGAAAGTGATGTTGAAATACACCCCTCAGCTGGGTGTGTTCAGCATGACAGACAGGCTGTGTTCCTCCAGGAATCACAGACTCAGAAAAAGGCTAAAGATCATCCTGTTCTAACCCCTACCATGGGCAGGGACACCTTCCACTGTCCCAGGTTTCTCCAAACCCTGTCCAACCTGGCCTTGGACACTTCCAGGGATGAGGCATCAACAACTTCCCTGGGCAACCTGTGCCAGGGCCCCACCACTCTCTGAGCAAAAAATGTCTTCCTAATATCCAGCCTAAATCTTCCCTCCTTCAGAGTAATCCACCACAGGGAAAATCCACCATGTTTTGCCTCTAGGAACCTCAGCTGCAGGTGCTGGGCACACACCTTGGGAGAGTGGGATGTGTCAACCCACAGGATGCTCCTCCTGCTCCAGCTCAGATTAGAGAAGGTGTTCAAGGAGGAGATGGGGTGACCATGGGGACAAGGCTCTGAAGAAGAGCCCTCATCCCTCTCTCCTGCATGGGCAAACCTGCAAAACCCACTGGCAGGTAGCTGCATTCCTTTAGTCTTGATTTCAGCAGCAGCTGGGATCAGTTCCCTGGGGGAATTTTGTTGCTGTGATGTTGACCCCGGAGCCTGAACCCTGCTGGTGACCCAGAGCCAGCTGGGCAGAACTCCCCCATCATCAGGCTCAAGCACAGGCACAGTTGGGTGTTTTGGGTTTTTTTAAATTGAGAAATACCATTGAAAAAGTCGCAGAGTCGAAGTCAAAAGTTGGGAAGTGGAAGAATTGAGGTCACCGTGGAAGAAAGGAATAATAACCTGTGATCCTCTAATTAAAGTCCAGCTTTCAGTGTGGGAGTGCAGAGATCAGAATTGGAAGTGCAGAAGCTCCTTTCAGTCTGGCTGTCCCTAATTCCTGAGACCCTGACACTGCAACTTTAACATTTTATTAAAACCAGGCTTAATTTGGTTTTTCATAATTTCATTATTATTTGGATGGCAAAATACCCTACGATAGATATTAAGGCTTCAAGACACATCAATCAAATATAGAGTGAGTTCTTGGTCTGAAAAGTTACATGTCTTAAATGTGTATAACCTGTAAACAGCAAGATAGGATGTTTATTATTATTTTCCTGCTCAGTGATGGGATTAGGAATACAAACCTTATTCCTAGATGATTAATCTACATCCATAGACTTGAATTGAGCCTGGGTATCTGCCCATTAAATTTTAGAAAATCCAGATATTTCTGTGATGCTGCAGGTGGAGGAAATAAAAGGGAGGTAGAAGGACATCTTGAACAATTTGGGTGCTTGTGCATTCACAAGACCAAAAAGGATTTCCTTCCAGGCTGCTCTCAGGAGAAGAATTCCCACACCCTGCAGAGCTTTCATGGGATTGCTGTGGCTGTTTGTTTTATGGAAGTGCTTAGAAAAATCTCAGGTCAGCATTTTGCCACTTGGCTTTCATGCCACCATAGGGGACTCACAATTTTGGGGGCAGTTAATCAGATATTGGTCCAACCCTCTGGAGAATGCTCGCTTAAAATTCCTGATCCAGCATGTGGAGGCACTACAGGAGAGTTAATGGGATGGGGGCTCCTGGGGAACAGAGAGCAGGAGCTGCAATGCTGCTCTTGCTCTCTCAGACCTGCAGAGCAAACCCAGAGTGTGCTGAGAATGGCAGAGATCTCCTTTCATGACTCCTGCCTCTGGAAATGCACAAATTTCCTCTACCAGAAAGATGGAGAAATTGAAGTTGGGGTGTTTATTTTATCTGGTGTCAGACACCAGAGAGAAGCCAAGCCCTAAAGTTTTAGGTCACCCCAAGATTTTTAATATTATGGTTGCCCATATATTGAAGGTTTTTTGCACGTGTTTCCATGGATCCTCATCTGCAAATCCCCAGGTAGGTGCAGTCTCTTCTCTAGGGAACAAAGACATTGAGGGGTGATCTTGGAGCTACAGCTCCAGCAGCCCCCACGTGCTCTCACAACTAAAACTCTGAAGTCTGGGAGCAGGTGAATAATTTAACAGCCACACTTAGTCTTTATAGCTGATTTTAATGGGGGGTAATAGCACTGCTAATAACAAAATCCATTGAAGACACCCTCTGCAAGTCCATAACATTAACTTAATGGCAAAAGGTAATTGGCATGCAGTTGGTGCTGTCCTTTTGGATTAACCCCACGGATTTCCAGGCAGACACCTCCCTTGGAGCAATGGCCTTGGGCAGTGCATGTGGGGTGAAATACAGACGTGGTTCACGTTAAGCAAATGCAAATCTGGATGGAAACAGGGCAAAAAGCTACTGATTCACATTGCTGGCTTGTGTTTACACCCGAGAGGTGAGAAGAGAGGCAGTGAGAGGACTGAAAGCACCAGCAGTGAGTGGGTGGTGTGAGATCTGAGGGCCTGTGCAACCCAGGTGTGTGCACCCACCTCTCTCGCTGAACTGCCACTAATTGGGAACACCAGAAATTTTAAGATTCAACCCTCAGCACTTCTAGTCAGGCATTTTCAAACCAGATACCAAAAGCTCCTTAGTCTGCAGGGACTATTTAGCAGCTGCTGGGCAATGGCTTGGAGTGTGGCCCCATCCTCTCAGAGAGGGACCAGCAGCCCAGAGGCACCACAGGAGTGGAGCATTTTCAGCAGGGCCAAAGAGCAGCTTCTCTACAAGGACATCCCTGCCTAAGATCCCTTCAACAAGAGAGTTTTCAGGGCTGTAGGTTTGGCCAAGGGAAGGTTGTGCTGTAGCTGCTGGGGCTTCCACCCATTACCCTCCCTCTTTTCACGGTGTCCTTGCAACTCCCTGCTGAGCAATCCCATGGCTGCTGGCACAGCAGTCAGCACTCTCAGGGACATGGTGGGATTCTTGGGGTTGTCCTTTTGAAAGGCCAGGAGTCAGATTTGATGGTCCTTGTGGGTCCCTTCCAACTCAGGATATCCTTTGACTATGATTCTAGGAACTGGAGCACTCCAGGACATGAGTTTCCCATCTAGTGCAGGCCCAGAGAGTACAGAGCTGACTTTCCACCTAAAGCTGTTGTTCCTCCCATGTCCCAGGGTTGTCCTCACCCTCCCAGCCTGACTCTGTTTAACCCTGTGTTATGATCCAGTTATTAGAATTATTAGAAATGCCTCTGCCTGAATGAAGGTACAAATGAGACCAAATGCCAAAGTCAGTACTATGGGGTTTTATTTAATGGTAAATGTGAGACAGAGAAAGGGAGATGGAAAGAAATAAGAACAAGGGGCGAGGGGGAGAAGAAAGGGAATGACAGAGAGAGATTTAAATAGCAAATGTATCATCACTTCGTGTAACCTGGTGGCATCCCATGGGTCTGGTTCTTCTGGTCTTCTTGGTGGTGACGGTCCCAAAAAACAGAGTCCACTGGATTAATATCCCCCCTGGTGGGAGGGTGAAGCTTTGCAGTCTCTTGTGAGAGGCAGTCCTCTGGTGGTGGGAGGCCTCAAGAATGAGTCTAGGGGATGCTTTGTGGGTCTTTGATGGTTTATGACCCTACTCAGCTGCCTCTCAGGTGAATGTCCCGTGTGTACGTGGCCTTCCCGGAGCAGGGGGTTACTCCTTTGTTTTGGTGTGGGGGGGATTTCACCATCACACCCTCAAAACCCTTCTCCTCCACCACCCCCTGGGCCTTGTTTACTTCTCCTCAGACCTGAGATGATTAGACAGCAGTCTTATCTCAAGTCCCCAGTCACACTCCAAATTCCAGTCGGGAGGCATCGGGAGAGGGGGGTGGTGCTTTGATGGTCGCAGTTGCTTCCTTGCAGCTTGACAAAAAGCCTTTCTACGATTTTGACAACGTTTCAGACATTCCCAACCCTTCAGCCCATCACCCCCTGTCCCTCTCTGTCCCCGTTTTCCCAGGTGCACGAGGAAGGAGCGGTGCGAGCGCTCCAGCGAGCCACGGAGATTTGCCTCGGAGATGAAGCAGTGCGTCCGGCTCACCGTGCATCCCAACAACATCTCCGTGTCCCAGTACAACGTTTTGGTGAGGAATCCCAATCCCTGCCCCCTCCCCCTTGAGTTTAATCTGCCCATGCAGTGTGACAGACCCAGGTATGTGCCGCCTGGATCCAGGGAAGGATCGGCAGCTTGATGCGAGAGGTTCTCCAGAGTCCAGTAACTTCTTTTCTGGCACAGAGAAAGATATGTCATGGGAGGCCTTGGTTATCCCCTGTCTAGAAGTCTAGGAAGGGACTAGAAATGGTCTTCCCTGTTTGCTGTGAGCAGCTGAGGGCAGGTCTGAAGGGATTCTGTGCCCTGCAGGTGTTGTGTGCAGCCAGTGTTGCTTTTTGCTTCCCTGGGAGAGGGATTAGTTTATGCCTTTAGCCCAAGGAACATTATCATGGTTGGAAATTGGATGCTAGAAGAAACACAGATGAGGGGTACCATGAGTTATCTCAGTGAGCTCCAAGTTCCCATCAGCTTGGATGGAAACATCTCCTTCTAAGCCATGAGTTTCAGTGAGCTCCAAGTTCCCATCATCTTGAGTGGAAATATCTCCTTCTAAGCCACCAAAAACTCCACCCTGCTGCAGCTCCAGCACAGTATGAACAGCAGAGCAGAGAGGCAGGATGCTGTGCAGAGGAACCAAAGACTTACAAGGTTCATGCTGTCCCTTGTGACTGTCCACAGCACAAGGTTTCACCCTTACAGTCTTGAGTTACTTGGTCAGCACCCAACATGGTGAGTGCTGGCAGAGCAGCAGATGATCCCGATCATTTCCTGGGCTTAAGGCAGGAAATCTCCTGCTGAAGGTCTGACCAGCTTGTGGTTTCTCTCCTGACTTGTGGCAGCAGTACCTTATGTGGTGAGATCCCAACATGCTCCAAGGAGGAGGCACAGACCCATTTCATTCAGCCTGCCAGAGCTCTGTGGTTTTGGCCATACCAGCTTGGGCTGGAATTAAGTTGATGATCCAGGCCCTAAAAGCTCCATCTCTGAGTGAGTTTGTCATTAACCCCACACCCTGAAAGGTCCAAATGGAATTGCTCAGGCAGCAGCTGCCAGACCCCTTCCAGGTGGAGAATTTTGGAGTGCTGGGACTATTTCAGTGACAATGAAATCAGCCTTTCAAAGCCTACATGTCCAATCATTGCTGCTTTGTTTCAGCCTCTTAACTTTGCTGTGACTTTACTTTCCTAGGCTTCAAACAAAACTGATCTGAGACATCTTAACTTCTTTGTTCTTCTGGGAGTTCAAGGTTTCTTTTTCTTATTCTGTCAGTAGTTGTTGAATTCTTTCATGTTGGAATAAATCCTGGGGGACTGGCTGGCTCAGGGAGACTGGAAATGATAACAGAATAAAAGACCTTTACCTCTGGGTTACTCCCAGGGCGAGACAGCCCAGAGCTGCTGGGATCAGAAGTTGCCAAAATCTATCTGTTGCCCAGAAATGTGCATGAATATTGTGGTGGGAGTCTCAGCCCAGTCCCAGCTAAATTGGTGACTCAGCTCATCCAGTCACCACAGAGAGTTTCTTGGCAAACCAGGAAGGAACACCAGCAAACAGATGGCTGGTGGTATCCTTATGGAATCTCACTTGGCTTCTGGCAAAGGGTCAGCGATACTGAGGCAGAGAATTATGTGGTCAGCCAATCTTTTAAATTTTGAGCACTAACAGGGGCTTGGAAAATTTTAACCGAGTCTGTTTCAGTGCAGTGCTGCTGCTCTGGGATTTCTGAGAAGAGCTCCTTGCTGGGGCAAGGATCCATGCTTTCCTCACTGGAGCAGGTCCAGAGCAGGAGTGTGGGATGTAGGAATTCTTGTGTGTTCAGAATGTGCCCTGGCTCATGGAATTTGTGGCCAAGCACTTCTGGTCTGTCCACTGGTGTCATCTTCTTCATGGCACACCTTCATTCTGCACCATCCGTGCTCAGAAAGCAACTTGCTGAGCAGAACAGTTTTCCCTTCTCCATTGCCAGCAGGGTGTCAATGAACTGGGAGAATGGACTCAGCCTGTGTGCTAAATCCAGATATCCAAAGCTTCTTCCTGCTCCCCACCCAAGACAAAAAATTCACCTTTCCCATTGCCCAAAAATGATCATTGTCTATAAAACCAAGAAAACCTACTCTCACAAAGAGTTAATGTCAGCCAGGGCTAAGGCCTGTCTGCTCAGCCTTTCTCCCTGGTGTTGCCTGGTGTGAAGAAACAGCTCCAGCCTTTCCCTAGGTGAGGAAAACACTCCCACAGTGTGTGGAAGCAGTAAGGGTTATGTTGTGTTCTCATCCTGTCCTGCTTTGTCACCTGGACTGACCTCTGTTCTTTGTGCTGGTAGAAACAACACTTCAGCATGCATCTGTCTCCTTTCAGTGGCTGTCACCTCAGATGGGGCCTCAGGTAGCTCGTGGAGGAGGGAAGTGTGGAGAGCATCTGTGTCTAGTGGTTGGCTCTAGTGTTTGCTCACAGAAATGCTAAATTTGTACTAATTACTGGGGCATCAGCAGGTGCTAAAGACCCCTGGGATGCCTCCCTGTGTTCAGGTATGATCTGGTGAGTGGAGCAGGACCCTCAGTGATGGAGGGCTGTGGTGCAGGATGGTGGCTGGTCTGGGAAGTCGGCACCATGATGGTGTTTCTCCAAAGTGTGGACATGCTGGAGACCAGCCACGAGATTCCTTCTGCCACAACCATGAGCAATGACACAGCAATGCCAGAGGCTGTGAACTCTAAAAACATGGTCAGTCCCTCCTTCAAGGGGTTTTTACATATGGCAGGTCCCCTAGAGCCAACTGCTCCTTCGGTGGGATGGGCAGGAGAGGTTTGCTGTGCCTCTAGAGACAGCGGTGGTTTTGTGGTGGACTGAAGGCTGTAACTAGACTCTCCTCACACAGGAACTTGGTGGCAGAGTGCTCCCCACCTGCTGATGCTGGGAGAGCAGCCCGTAGAGAGTTAGACTGGAGCGCTCCAGTTTCTCTGGAGTCTGCAGAGAGCCTCTTGTGAGTAGCAGTTCACCTTCCTCAGAAACCGCGGGCCCTGGGGCCACCACCGCCCCGGGCTTCACTGCTGGCTCCAAAGACTCCCTGCCTAACCTGACACTTGCATGACAGATAGTGAGCACTCCCCCACCCCTCCACTGACCCAGCCAGCACTGGGATGCAGTGCAGCTGTCCCTGCACAGCCACAAACCACTTGTGTCGGCATCAGCATCGGCATCTCATCCCCTTCCCCTCCACTGATTCCCCTCTCCTGAATCGCTGCTTTCTGTTGAAGGAGGATGCTCTCTCTAGCAAGAGGCTCTTTGTCTGACCTCTCCAGTGTAATTCTCTCCTGCTGACCCAGCTCTGTTGTTTTGCTTAGTGTTCTCTCTTCTTTTTTCCTCTCTATCTTTTCTTCTCTCGCTCCGTCTTTGCTTGCAGCTGGTCTTGGAGACCTACAACGTCCCCGAGCTGTCAGCAGGAGTCAACTGCACCTTCGAGGACCTTTCAGAGATGGATGGCCTGGTGGTGGGCAGTCAGATCCAGTGCATCTCACCAGCTGCCAAAGAGGTGCCCCAGATCATCACAGAGAACGGTGAGTATCCCACAGCTCCCCTGCCTGCACCACTTCTCCCTCCCTGAGTGTTTGAAGGTCCTCACCCCCCACCCTTGTGCCTCTCCTGCTTTCTCACCAAGAAGGATTTGGCTCACGGCAGCCTGAGAGCAGGGTATGGAAAGCACTGGGATTGGTGGGATGCTGGTGGAGCTGCCCAGCAGCACATTGTGGCATGAGCTGTGTGAATTTGCCTGTGTTTCTGTGTGAACACGTGTGCAAGTGTTGAGCTGCAACACCAGTACCTACCCTAAGGTGCTCGTGTGTGTGACACGAGGTGTTTTCAGACTGCCACCGAGTGGCAGTTACATATATTTAGCAAAGACAAGACATGAATGTGGGATATTCGCTCACCTTTTGCCCAGGCTGGTGTTACAAAACCTGGGGAATGAGGCTGTGCATGCTCTCAACACATCCCATCCTGTGTAGCAGCCAGAAAGTCCTGCACACCTGAGTGATCCTGTCTGTAAATTCATCCCATTCCTCACAGATTTAGGTCTTTGTGCTCAGTTCCCTACCCCTGGCCTTTACTGCCTCCAGCTGTTCCAGTCTTGCTGCTGGCTCCCTCTCCTAAAGTGGTTCAGCACAGAAAAACACCTTGTCTCCAAGGATACTTCCCCCATCCACAACTTCCTACCCTTTTTTGTTCCCCCTTTTTTCAATAACACCTGTGGCTCTTTGCAAGGACTTACTATAAAAACCTCGACCCTGCCCAGTGAGACACAGAGGATGCTGTCATTCTTGTCCTTGGCTTCTTGTGAAAATTTGCTGTAAGTTTGCCTCTGAGCATCCTCAGACCACAGAAAATGAAGTGACATGAGCTGTCAGCATCATCTCTGCTGCATGTGCTCTCCTTTTGGTCCCAAAACAAGCCCCCAGAAGGTTGTTACCGTTTTCAGGTCCTGCTGAGTTATCACTCGTGTTTACAGATGCCAGAAACTATTTCCTTGGTGTGGACATCTCTCCCAGGCCAGGCTACAATCAACCAGAAAACAAAAATAGCAGTGGAAGCTGGAGGCAGGACAAGAGAGAGAGATTTATGTGTGGTGTGGTTTCAGAGAAGCAGCTTGAAGCAACTTCAGCAGCTGATGCTCCACACCTTGCACAGAGCAAGTGCTCCATGCACAGAGCCAGGGGCTGGATTGGAACCAAAGAATGTGTGGTTCTGTCACATGTCTGATCCCTGGGGCCACCCAATCCTTGCTTCCTGCTTTAAAATACATGGAAGATGCTGTGAAGTTGTTAAATACGGTGTGTTGATGGCAGAGCTGTCGGAGCTGGTGGCACCAGATGGGCAGCAGAGCCCAGCACTGGCAGGGAAACGTGTTTAGTGAAGTGTGTGGTCTGTGCAGTGTCTGTGTGTGTGTGTTTGAGTCTGTGTGTGCCTGAAGGTGGGTGAGTGCACATGTGGCTGCACCTTGTGATGGACTGTCCAGTTTGCTTTGTCCTGATTGATTCGTGAGTCTTTAGATGAGGAGGAAAATAATGGAATCATAGAATTATAGAATGGTTTGAGTTGGAAGGGAGCTGAAAAGTCATCCAGTTCCAACCCCCCTGCCGTGGGCAGGGCACTTTCCACTAGCTCAGGTGGCTCCAAGCCCTGTCCAACGTGGCCTTGGACACTGCCAGGGATGGGGCAGCCACAGCCTCCCTGGGCAACCTGTGCCAGGGCCTCCCCATCCTCACAGGGGAGAATTTCTTCCCAATATCTAATCTAAACCTTCCCTACTTCATCTTAAGGCCATTCTCTCTTGTCCTATCACTACACCCCCTTGTGTCAATAGCACAGAAAGGGCCACTCAAGTAAATCTCAAATTAACTGTGGGTCAGTTCCCCACCAAATTACTGCGGTTACTGCACCCACTCTTTACCCACAATGATGGGCTCTGAATAGTGGTTTTGGTGTTGTGGGAAGAGGTAACAACTGACTGCCCAGTTTGGGAGCAGTGAGAATGAGGAGATGGGGTGTAGGAGCTGAGGTTCCCATGGGTCTGCTATGGAAATGGATGGATCCTTCTGGAAGTGTGATGGATTGCATGTCCCTCACACTGAGATGGGTTCTTTGCAGCCGAAGACCAGGGGAATGGACCTTGAGGTTAATGGGCTGAGTGAAGGTAGAAGAAATGTCCAGAGGCCCTTTCCTTCTGGGAACATCAAATGAACCAGCAGCAAGGAAGAATTTTAAGGAGAATACTCTGTTTTAACAGCCTCTGAATTCCAGCCATCTGCACTCATTCTTTGGGCTTTCCTATTTGATGGCTTCAGTCACCATATTTTTGAGATTAGTGAGGTATGATATAGACCCATTGTCGTGGTCTAGCCCAGACTCTGCTCCCAGGTACAATAATTTCCAGTTCTGAAAATGCACTCCATCATCCCAACACCAACAGAGAGGTCACTCTGTTGGAGAACTGGGCTCCAGAAGGATTTTATTGTACTTTCCACATCTATTGAGGGCAGACCAGCCAAGGTAATGTGGGACAGCTCCAGGTTCAGGCTGGTGGCATGGCCAGCAGTGCTTAACTAGGCTGACAAAGCAATCACACACTGATATGTCTTTTTTTCCCCCCAGGAGACCACCACATTGTGCAGCTTCAGCTCAAGTCCAAGGAAACGGGTATGACCTTTGCCAGCACCAGCTTCGTCTTCTACAACTGCAGCGTCCACAACTCGTACGTTCCTTTCCTTTGATCCCTGCTTCCCATTCCGCCCCTGGCTCTGCCACAGAACCCCCTGATGATGGGCATGTGTCCCTCGGGAAGCTGGTTATGTGTGGAGGTGACATGGGGTCGGGGTCACTTCTGTGGTAGTCAGGATGATGGGGTCCTTCCCGAGAAGACCAAGAGTATGGGGACCAGTAGTTCTGCAGGCAGAGCGTCACATTAGGGGCAGTTTGCCACAGAATTGAGTCAGGACTGGGTCATGACCTCAGCACGTGGCCCCCACATCTTCCTGTTAATCAGGTGTTTGTGGATGGCTGGATCCTGCCCATAATATGCACCTCCAACCCTCACCCATCTTGCCAGTCCCACCAGCAGGAGTCTGCCTCAGGTGGTTAATATGGGATTGGTCTTTCCAGTCTGGAAGGTTGGTTCATGCATGATGTGAAGTGAGAAGGGAACACCCAGCTGATTCCCTCAAGACCATCTTTTCCATGCTGTGAGCTCCTTTCCTGCCTCCCACCCCATTTTTCTGGGGTTCAGCTGCCACCCAGGGCTGCTCAGGAGCTGTCCCACCACAGCAGATCTTCAGCTCCCCCACAGAAAGATGCTCTTCCAGTGGGATGATCCAGCCCTGAGCAAGGCTGAGCAGCTCTGTCCCCACCACTGAGCCTGTTCAGAAGTGCCAAAAGCACGTAATTACTGCGGCTCAGCAATTCACAAGGAAAGGCAATTCCTATTTCCATGTTCCTGCTGCTTTGACAAACAGTGTCAGAAAGCAAGTGTTGGTGGGGAGAGCAGGAGAGATGGTGGTGTTAAATATTTATGGCATGTTTTGGTTCCTTACTTGACAAACTGTACTACACTATCCATTTTTAATTCGATGTATCAGAGCAAGCACTTGTTACCAATTTGAAGAATAAGTTGCTGTACCAGAGCTGAGGGTGGATTGGAGCTGAGCAGGATTTCCCAGAGACAGGGGAGAGGGTGTGTGGATGCCTCTTAAGCTCAGACAAGCTCTGCTGGAGGCAGTTTTTTTCTCTCCTGCCCATTAAAACCCCAGTAAAAACCAGGAAAATTTACCTCCTTCAAGGTCCCTTCTGGTACTTTGGAGTCTGCAGCTTTATAGGATCTTAAAATCAATAAGGTTGGAAAAGACCTCTAAGATCTCCAAGTCCAACCATCAGCCAGCACCACCACCATGTTCACCATCAAACTATGTCCTCAAGTGCCACAGCCACACGTTTTTTGAGCACTTCCAGGGATGGGGACTCCACTACTTCCCTGAGTAGCCTATGCCAGGGCTTTACAACCCTTTAAATGGAAAATAATTTCCTAATACAATATAAACCTCCCCATGGCACAACTTGAGTTCGTTTCATCCCATCCTGTCCCTTGTTCCCTGGGAGCAGAGCCTGATTTCCCCCAGCTCCCCCCTCCTGTCAGGGAGTTGCAGAGCCAGAAGGTCCCCCCTGAGCCTCCTTTTCTCCAGGATGAGCCCCCTCAGCCCCTCCTGCTGCTCCAGCCCCTTCCCAGCTCCCTTCCCTTCCCTGCACACGCTCCAGCCCCTCCATGCCTTGGACGTGAAGGTCTCCAGAGTGTGGGTGACCAGGATTGTGCAGAGAGTTTGTTATGGCTCCTTTTGGTTGCTGGTGAGCAGACATATATTACATTTAAAAAGAACTGTGATGTAGGTGTAAGTCAGTGCTGTGACACAGCCAGGAGAGGTGTTTGCAGCTCTTGCTCTGCAGAGCCCCTGGGGACAGGAGAGCAAAACCTTGTAAGGTGGAGAGAATGGCTCTTTCCTACATCCTGAGTAGGTGATGTCCTAAATATGCCCTCTGCTTCCCAGGTAGCTGCTCCAGTGGTCTGTACTTCTCTGCTGAGGTGAAGGAAAGAAAAATGCAGTTAATATATTTGCAGGAGCCTCCTCACCCTGGTCAGAACTCACACTAATAAACCTGTGGGACACAGAGGGAGAAAATTCCCTGCTTCATCCTTGACTTTTTGATTTTGGTGCATCCCACTTGGTTTCTGGCCTCTGTGTGTGAGGATTAACCCCATGGAACTGCTGGTGCCCAGGGTTTGCCTTCCATGGGCATCACTCCTCCCACCAGTCCCTCATTTGGCCACCTTCTCCTGATGTCTTCACAGCTACCAGGGCACTGGTGCAGCTCAGTGTGGAGGCAGCCAGGCTGCAGTATTTTCCACCCATCCCCTGATCTTGTATTTTTTTATTTCCACCTATCCCCTGATCTCATATTTTCTTATTTCCACCCATCCCCTGATCTCATATTTTTTGTTATACCCAGTATTTGGGCAAAAATGTGGATGCCTCTTGTGTGTGAAGCCAAGAACTTGCTGATAGTCTGAATAAAAGTTGCAACAGGGCAATCAAAATGCAAGAAATATTTATTATTCCTCCAGTTGCAATGATACGAATGCAACCTAAATTAACTAATAAACATGAGATTCTTGTGATCCCAGCAACAACCAGCTCAGGCCATGGCAAGTCCAGCACCATCCTGCAACCTGATGGTGTTGTGTCAAAAAAAAATCAAAAAACCCATGTTTACCAGGCTGTGTTTCCCTCTGAGAAAGGCTCTCAGCCTCAAGGCCTGTCCTGTTGGCTGATGGGACCCTGCTGGCCAGGTGACTGCTCTTTCTCTCTGTTCCCAGGTGTCTGTCATGCGTGGAGAGCCCCTACAGGTGTCACTGGTGCAAGTACCGCCACGTGTGCACCCACGACCCCAGCTCCTGCTCCTTCCAGGAGGGACGAGTCAAGATGCCTGAGGTAGGCAGGGGCACAGGGTGTGTGTCAGGGGTTGATGTCACCTGTCACATTAACAGCCCAGGAAGCCTTTTCCACCTCCAGTCCCACCCTCACCCTCCAGGAGACCCTCACCTCTCTCTCTGTACACAGCTCCTCTGCTCTCTGCTCTGCCAAAATCTCAGGGAGCTTCTCCCTCCCTCCCACACGCTACAGGGAGTGGGTTACCTTGGAAAATCATGACAAACTCTGGCACCAAGGGGCTGGGAGGGATGGAAAACACTGGTAATACGTCTCCAGGAGAGAAGGAAATACTCTACTCTAAGCACCTCTCCCAGGCAGTTGAGATCTGGGAAGGATTTAGGGCTTTATCCATGGTACCAGTAGATTTCTGCCACGCTTTGAACACCTTTGTGGCTTCATGGATTTGAAGCCTAATGGTCAGTGCCTCAAACTGCCTCCAGATGAGGCCAGGAGATGCCTCATTGCCAGCCACTGAGCTGAACTGGACCTTGGGGCTTAACACAGAGCTGCAAATGCTGCCTGGCAGGTACTGTGACTAACGAGCACTCGCAGACAAGTGGAGCTAGGGAGAATACAAATAGGAAGCTACTTAATTACTTCCTGGCCAGGAACGGGTCTGAAAGCATCCTGGGCTGTCTGGTAAATGACCTGAGAGGGCTGGTTGTTTGCCTGGCCCCAGGGACCAGTACCCATTAAGAGATCTGATACCTGCTGAGCCACCAGGGCACAAGTGGCTGCTGAAGACTCTGGAAACGTGTTCTGCATTCAGAGGGTGAAACCCTCGCTGTTCCCCGACCTGCCTGCTGGCTCTGGTGTCTCTAATGTGGTCCCCCACTTACCTCCAGCCCCTGCTCCAGCCCAGCTGAACCAGAAGACCCACATGTAGTGTCTTCACATTCCCATGGCATCCCTGTTCCCTCCCACCCCTTCCATAAGTGCTGCTTGAGATACCACATATGTGCTGGTTGAGGTGTCCTGCATCAGAACTTCTGACCTGCTGTGCCACTGGGACAACCCGTAAATATTCATGAGTTCTCAGTCTACCAGGATGCAGAATTTGTTGTAAACTTGCTGGAAAACATGCTGAGGAGGTGGAGGGCTTGGCACCTTCCACTGGGTGGTGAAGGGTTGAAGGAAAGCAGCTCAAAGTTCAGCCCTTCTGAAGGTTATCTCAGCCAGAGAGGGACTATTCCCTCACGTGGAGCCTTGGCACAGTTTGTCCAGTCCTGCTGCCCACAGATTTCTGTGCCTTGCACTTCAGGGGCTGGAAGGGTCTCTTGCTGAGTGGAATCCCCTGGGACACTTTGTCTCAGCTTCCCACTGAAACACCACTGCAAAACCATCACCACCACTGATCTTCTCTGGCTCCTCTTGGGGTGTCCCATGTACCAAGCAGAGGACTCACCTTCCCAGTTCCCACCTCTTCTCTCCTCCAGCCCCCTGTCCAAAAAGAAATGCCTACAAACCTTAGTGGATGTCCTGCTCCCTCAACCCCTATCACACCCCTGGTATTCAGGACACTGCTCTCATCAGAAAGGAGACCACGAGAATGATCCCACTTTCTTAGGGAATGGGCTGGGGATGGCACAGCCCCTGGTCTTTATCCACTTCAAGGCCTTGCTCTGCAGAACTGGGGAGGAAGGGAGTGGGCTCATCAGACTCTGCAGATCTGCCTGTTTTAGCTTTATCACCTCTCTACTAGTTTGGTTTCTGAAAGGTGTTCTCTTCAGACCAGGAGACAGCTCCAGCCTGGGGGGCTTTGTCTGCCAGCAGAGTTTTTTTTTCTCTCTTCTATCCCCTTAAACAGAGAATTTCCTGCTAAGCTTCATAAACTCCCTCTCTGATCTTGCAAAGCTGCTCTGTGGGATTTGCATGGCACAGGGAGAGGCACAAACCTGACCTTGGAAGACAACTATTGGTCTCCAAGGCAATGACAGCATCATGTGAGACATGGATGTTACACGGGTCATTCCCAACAGGGGCTGCGGCAAAACCATCTCTGAGCACAAATGGGACCTCTTTCCCCTGGGATACAGCATTTGGCACTCAGCTGCTCAGCTCAGGAGCTGGGTTTCCTGTCTACTGGACAGAGGAAACGCTTCCCAAGCACTGGAACTACAAAGTCTGGAAGGATAATGGCCTTCCAAACCCCAAAAGTTTCCGAGCTTCCTTTCTGCCTGGGAGTGTGAGAAATACCCTGTAACTTCAGAGTCCCTCTCATTCCATTTGTGTGTTTGTGGCTGTCAAGGACACTTGGGCTGGGGAAGGATGGCATCACAAGTGCATTCTGACAAAGAGATTTACAACCCCTCTGTGGCCAGGAAGGTTTTTGTCAAATGGCACTTTGAGCAAACGCTGTGTCGTGTCTCCCACGCTTCTCTTGAAAAACCACCTTCCCACTGACTCATCCCTCTCACTGCAACTTCCACTGCCTGTTTTTCACTTTCACCTGCAATGCTATCATTTTCTGTCCTGCACACTTGCCTGTTTGTTGAGTGGGTTCTTGGAGCAGTAGAAACCATTGGGTATCTTGAAGCCACACCTGGCTCCTCATTTCCCATCCAGACCTTCACCCAGCTCCTGGTGACTCACAAAGTTGCCAGGACTGAGGTTCAATTCCAGACTTCCCAATGCCACCTTCAGCAGTGCTTGGAACGCACCATCATGTTGAGTGGCTCTGTTCTTACTGGCCTCTCATCTCCATGCTTCTTTCAGTCCTTTCCTCTGGAAGTATTTAGATCCCTGGAGGATGAGGAGAGGGGAGTGTTTCCTACCATCCAGGCATGAGTACCTGCTAAATCAGTAAGTCTGGAGGGAGGACTGATGGGAAGCTGTACCACCAGTGTGGGGTGGATGGACCATCCCATTTGCAGTCTTTCCATGGGTTTGCTGAGCAGATTAGCTTGGGCATCTTCCAGGATCTTGCACCAAGAGACTCCTTGCCAAGCAAACAAATATTGGTGTTGCTCTGTCATATGGACCTGTGCCAGGAACTGCTTCCCTCTGTAGTCATCACTGCTGGCCTGACAAGCCTTCTACCCTCCCCCTCACTATGGCCTTCACCTTCTCTTGTAACACCCACCCTCAGGTGATTTTTGTTCTCTGTTTGCCTGTACAACATCTTGCCATCATGTGGGAAGAGACTTCCCACTCTCCAGATGGCCTGGGCTGCAAATGGACTCGCTGGGCTGGCACCCATCACCCCTGGACCAGCCTGGAGTGCTTTGAAGGGAGGTTTGTGCCCTTGTGTAACTTTCTGACTCCATCATTTCCTTAGGACACCTCACAGCTTTCTGGATTCCCATGGGCTCAGCCTTTCACTTAGGTCTTCTTGATGTTCTCTGAGAGGATCTGGGGATTTTACTTTAATTTTAGTGTGATTTGCTGATTAATTTAGAATGCTGGATGAATTTGAGGCTGATCCAGTGGGACAGCAGAAAGGCTTTGGCCATGACCCACATTGTCCAGAAGGCAAAATGCTGTTTGTGTCTGTGTAGCCTGTGATCTGCCATCCAAGGGGAGCCTTTGAATGGCATCATGGATAGCTGGGACCAGCCAGCCCCACCTGGCAGAACAACCAGAGACGGGGAAAGGACAGAAAAGGCACATCCCTCACCATCAACATGGAGATATGACTTTCTTTCCTGTCATTTGTCAGGTGGATCAGCTCTGCCTGTGATAGATCTGGATCAACTAGTCTGGGAGCCTTGGGAAAGCCCGTGTTTGCTCCAGTGAAGAACTCCAGCGTGGTCATAAAGCAAGAGTATTTATGATTATGGCACTGATCTTAATCACACGGGGTTGACAAAGTCCCTGGATGATTTGTGGCAGAAATGCTTCACCTTGGCGTGTAATTTCCCTTTACAGCAGGTTTTCAAAAACCAGGCCCACTGGCTTGAAATACACTGAGTGACTTCTTGCTTTATAAAGGGGAGCTGATGTTATCATTACTGAGGGCAGGAAGGGAAAACACGAGGAAAAAAGAGCATTTTAATACTGAAGTGGATTGTTGTTGTTGCTGTTGTTGTTTTTCCCAAAAAGCTGATGGCAAAAGTGGAGAGAATTAGTCTCAGATACAAAAGGGAGTGGGCTGAGTTTCTGTTTTTTTCTTGGCCATCCTGTCTCTGCTTTTGACATTTGTTGCTGACCATAACTAAAGTCACAGTGCAGGCTTAGAGTTTGAACACAAACCAGACTAACACACTGTGAAATCAACCCTGACTTACCTGACACAATTACCAAGTAAGAGAGCTCAGTCATTTTCTTCTGTAAATGGGCATGACAGTCAAAATTTTGAGGGGAAACTGAGGCGAGGAGGTGGAAAACAATTGATCTGAGGGTCTCCAGTGGGACAGAAGCTGTAGAAACAGCTCCTGTCTCTCCTGATTTGCATTGCCCATCTCATCTTTGTACAGATCTGCTCTGATCCAAGGGGGTAATTTTCACTTCATCAGTGTTTCTGTCCAAGGATGGGGTGCTGGGGTATCCTACTTGAGTTGATGGGATAAAGGATTAAATCTTTTTGTTGTGCCTTTTTCTCTAAGATGAACACTATGTTGTTCCAGGCCTTGCAAGGATTTTAGCTTTGTGTAGGGAAAAAAGAGGAGAAAAAAATGGCAAAAGCCAAAAGCAAGCCTAGATAACAAATCTATTATTCACTGGCTTTAACAGATACATAATCATTTAATTACCTTGAAGGAGGTTTTCATCTCTCCCTTCTCAGACGATTTGTGTGTGCATGTGTTTTCCTTCCTCCCCCAAACAGGCTTTTTTATTAAAAGGATTTTCATCTGCTGCCTAAAAAGGGAACAGAAGAAAAGATCTTGCTCCAGAGTGTTTTATGTCGAGTTGTTCGTGCTAATGACAGCAGAGCCCACATAAAAGAAACAACTGCTTCGAATATTAATTTGTCAAAAGAGATAGAAAGCCTTGTGAGCTGTATCCTGGAAGCAGCTGCTGAGGAGCAGAGCCTGCTTTGCCCAGTGTTTGCCCGTGCCTTG